TTAAAATACTGGTTCCCATACGATCACCAAGGTTAAGCAATGCAATGCTTGTTCAATACCTTGATGGGTGACCGCTTGGGAATACCAGGTGCTGTACACTTATCCCCAAAAAAAAGAAAAAATTATTAGAATGTAAAAATATTTTTTAGCTTTAAATAACCTTTAATGGGTTGATAAGCCATAAAAAACAAATCAATCAACTAATCTAAATTATGGTGCACCCTAATTTTCTATCTGCCTTAAAAAGAAAACAAGCAAACTTGGTATATCTTTTTAGCACCATTCAGGATTCTTCTTCTATGTGCCATCTTCCTTCAGGACATTGCCAATCATGTATCTCCACAATTTCCTGTCCTTTGTAGCTCTTAATAAATTTTGTCTTTTTGCTATCTCCAATAAAAACCTTGTTCCACTATCCATTTACTCAAGCTTGTTAGATAGGTTGTACCTCTGACTCATTTTTTCCTATGTCCTTTTTAATTCATTGTTTCATAATACTTTAAATGTTTCATAATACTTTAAATGTTTCATAATACTTTAAATGTTTCATAATACTTTAAATGTTTTGAGAGGAATCTTTGCCCATCCCATTGCATCTTCAGACCTCAATGTCACACTTTCTGTCCACTGTTAAAACACTTCCCAGATATTTAAATTGTTTGATTTTGGTATCCCCAATTTGTCACTTGCATTTTGGTTTCATCCTTTTACTAACAACCATGCATTCTCTTTCTGATACTAACTATAAGTGTCCTTTTTGTTTCTATTTTCTCTGTCATTGATTACATATTCCATGGAATCCTCAGCATCCTTCTATAGAACAACACTTCTGTTGCATCACATCTATGAAAAGTAAAATTAATTTAACACATGTTATCTGCTCCCTCGCTATTAAGGAAAATAATATTAATAAATAGTGTTTATATTGCACTATTTTCTTTGTTTCTAACGAAATGTTCCTGTTTCTTAATACTTTGCTTAACTTTTGGAAGGACTGATATTACATATCTGTCCAGTCCTCTATTCTTTGTTTCTAATGAAATTTTCCTGTTTCTTAATACTTTGCTTCTTAATACTTTAAATGTTTTAGAAGGCATCTTTTGCTATCCCTATGTGTCTTTGACCTTCAGTGTCGCACTTTCCATCCACTGTTAAAATACTTCCTGGATATTTAAATTGTTATACTTATTTGATTTTGGTATCTTCAAATTGTATTTTGCATGTTGGGCTCTTTACATTTGCTGACCATCTTCTTGCAATTGATGCTTAGTCCTTTCTTCTTGCCGAAACAATTTTTTTTTCTCCAACGGTTATTTTTTTTTTTTTTTTTTTTACTAATGAATAATGGCAATGATCCAGTCACTCCCACCATTCAACTGACCCAAGATGTATTCAATCCAATATTCTGAACACAGTGCCACATTAAACTATCAACAAACTCAGGCTGGCTGCCCACCAAGACTTGGCACATCTGAGTTCTGGCAGAATTGAAGTAATTTTCTCTAATAACTAACAATACTCAACAATGGCTGTCACCCAAAACTATTGGCCACTTGTAAAGCAAAGCACACACTGAGGACAAGTGGACATGACTTGGAGACACTAATTTATTTGATTACATTCAATGTTGCATTGATTTACATTCTGGACTGAGTAGGAAAAGAGAAAATGTAACAGATTGTTACTAGTGTAAAAACCTTACAAACTTTGATGTTGTTGATAATAAGATTGTCTCAATAAAGAAGCAGAATATATATATATATATATATATATATGGAAAACATTATATAAATACATACATGCAACAAACTATTTCTTATTTAACAGTTAAAATATTTCATCCTTGAAAATGTCTAAGTGTATAGTTGAAAGCACTTGGTAAAAAAGAACATTCGGACAGTTTTTATATAATTTATCATCTGAAAAGAAAAAAATTATTAGAACACATGAGAAATTGTATAAAAAACTAAATCAAAGCACCTTGTCTGTGAAATGAAATGTGCATGAAAGAAGGATTATGCCAAAATACCCATATATATATATATATATATATATATATATATATATATATATATATATAGTCTTAAGATGTGCTATATTATGGGATAAAGTACTCAATATCAGAGATAGAGCATGTGTAAATATAAAAGTGAACACTTAGTGGCGACAGTCTGTTTCATGCTAGATGCAATCATCAGGCCACCACATTTTATATATATATATATATATATATATATCCAGGATTCAACACTATCATTTGATAAGACACCAGAAGTATTGAAACAAAATGGCTATTTTTGTAGTGATGTTATAACATGTTTATGTTATAATTTTTTAAAAAATAATTATATAATATTATAATTATTTTCTTTTTTAAAAAATATGATTCCATCACAACACATAAATTTCTATGTTTCAAAACTGAAACTAAAATTGTAAATTTATTTTTCAGTTTTGAAACAAATTTCTGTGTTGTGATGGAATTATATTTTTAAAAAAAAAAATTGTTATAATAATATGCTCTACTGTTTGTATCGAACACTTTTTTTTTTTAAATAAAAATAATTACTTAGAACACTGGATTATAAACCTTACTGTTCTTTCTTATTATTTCAATATATAAAATCAGATATAACTAAAACTATATCTGTAAAAAGACAATATGAATAACAATACACAGGAAAACTTAGCTTAGTCAATGTGTTTCTTCCTCTGATAGACTTTATCAAGGCAAGTGAAAAGATTTTATTTTTTTATTTAGAAACAAAAGTAAAAATGTTGTTAGTTTTGAATTTAAAATTCTGAAAAACCCAACATTTTTACTTCTGTTTATAAGTACTTGTAGTAAAATAAGATCCTTACATTTGCCTTGAAAAAGTCTATCAGAGGATGAAATGCATCAGCTAAGTTTCCTTTTTGTCTTTTTATATATAATATGGGAAAACAATATAAAATTTATGTATCAAGAACAATTTTAGAAAAATCTATGACAAAGTGGACAAAATCTTTCATATGATGCATTTTGTCCTGAAAGTGTTCATCAGACTAAGATAATGCTTACATTTATGTGATTATACATGCCCATGGATTTTAAATTTAAATTTAATTTTTTTTGTTTAAATGTGTGTTTTGGGAAGCCAAAAAAAATAAAATAAAATAAATGTGAAATCAACCAGACTATATGAAGAGGCATGACACATAGAAGATGAATAAATATTCTGTAAATAAATTTCCTGTTACTTTGGGAAAATTAAAAGTGGCTAATAATATGAGGTGCAGTGAAGATATTGAACAAATATTGATCACTTGATTGAAATCAATGCTACTTGTTTGTAATGCTTTCAATGAATTGATCTTCTAAGCTACATATTTATATAATATGCCAGACTATTGATATTATTCTATTGTGGTAATAAAATAAGCACATCCCATTTCCCCTTTTGCTTGTAACCATACACTATAATAAAATAAACGTTTTCAGCATTAAGGCTGAATTAGTCAAACAAAAAATTCTAAGGTTCTACTTAGACTTGTTGCAATATTACAATAACATTTATTATATTATACAGAAAAATCATTTAAGAGAAACTACAACAAATACAGAGCGCATGATAATATTGTTGGATAGAGAAAGTTTTCAATTATAAATCACTATTTTTCTCCATGATTACTACCACTTGGGATGCGTTTTTTATATACACTACCATTGTGGATGCCTTTCTATGATTACTGCCATTGTGGATGCTTTTCATGAACACTGCCATTGTGGATGCCTTTCATGAACACTGCCATTGTGGATGCCTTTCATGAACACCGCCATTGTGGATGCCTTTCATGAACGCTGCCATTGTGGATGCCTTTCATGAATACTGCCATTGTGGATGCCTTTCTATGATTACCGTCATTGGGGATGCCTTTCTATGATTACTGTCATTGGGGATGCCTTTCTATGATTACTGCCATTGTGGATGCTTTTCATGAACACTGCCATTGTGGATGCCTTTCATGAATACTGCCATTGTGGATGCCTTTCATGAATACTGCCGTTGTGGATGCCTTTCTATGAACACTGCCATTGGGGATGCCTTTTTATGAACACTACCATTGGTGATGCCTTTTTATGAACACTACCATTGGGTATGCCTTTCCACCTGCAATGAACAAGAGCCTTAATATTACACCTGTAATACTTTCCACACGTAGGTGACTCACTTTTCATATACATTACTGTCACCAATGCTGAAGTACATTACCTGACTGTGCTCACATCCATTATTTGGTCTCTGTAAACATTCAGTAAGTGTTGATGAATGTCAATTTGTGCAGTGTTTTCCTGCATGGAAGAATTCAATAGTACATCTCATCTCTGCTTTGTATGCGCTTTTATGTTAGATACCATTTTGCTAGACTGTTGCTTAGCTGATATCTGTAACAAAGTAAAAAAAATGTGGATTATTCATGAGAGGGTTCAACCTCTTTTACCATATAACCAATATCTGCATCTGACCAACAATATAAAATCAAATACATTAATTACTTTTAGAGAAACTCTTGTAGATGGTTCATGAATTTGGTGTCATAGTAATTGTGAGTTCAATCCTGGAGTCAGGTACTATGGACTCTGACTCAGTAGAAACAGGACAAGCCATACCTGAGCAGCACTAAAAAAAAATGAACGTATCCCTAGACATGGACAGCAAAACAAAAAATATCTACCTTGGTAAATTATATAACAGGTTCACGTAAAACCTCCTTGAAGATCACTTGGATTAACATGCACCTGAACATGGCTGAAATATTGTGATAACAACAAAGATAAGGACATTCGTCTGAATGTAAATAATGATGAAAATAATGAAGTCTTTTCTGATTTTGTACTACTTCTTTCATTAATAAGATGACTGGATCTTTAATATTAGGTGTTTACATTTTTGCAAGTTTATAAGAATATAATAATTATATTATTTATTATGTAAAGAATTGTTATCTTTTTATGAGAAACATTTTTTATGTGTTTACATCACAAGATTTACAAGAGAAGAAACATGTGCCATTAAACCAAGTTGTACAACTGGGCCATTAATTCCTTGTTAAGG